CTAGAGTCATTATCGTAAATCTGATTTATCTAATGATAACCATAATAACCAACATCAGTTAATGGAAATAACACATTAGATTTTCATCCTACATTTGAAGTCAAATTTACCCTATAAAAAACACAATACTCAACAACTATTAACCAAAACAAAATATTAATAACCATTACCATTCTTAATCCAGAATAACCAACGCCACTATAATCACTCCAGGTCATAAACCACAACTATAGTAAAATATCCAATAAAAAAACTACATATCCCTTTTTTTCTCTCTCTTTCTTCATCTCCAGAGTTACCTATGAAGTATCTCCTGTGTTCATCCTCATGGAGCGCTTCATCCTCGCCAAGTTGGGATCAATGTTCGGCTTCGAAAAGGCGGATGGCATCTTCGCTCCGGGTGAGGGAGGAAGAAAGGAGAAGGAGGAGAGAGGAGGAGGGAGGAGGAGGAAAGGAGAAGGAGGAAAGAGGAGGAGGAGGGAGAAGGAAGGGAGAAGGAGGAGGGAGGAGGGAGAAAGAAGAGGGAGAGGCGGATGGCATCTTCGCTCCGGGTGAGGGAGGAAGAAGGGAGAAGGGGAGAAGGAGGAAGAAAGGAGAAGGAGGAGGGAGGAGGAGGGAGGGAGGAAGGGAAAAGGAGGAAGGCAGGGAGAGGGAGGAAAAAGAAGGAGGAAGGGAGGAGGGGAGAAGGGAGAAAGAAGAGGGAGAGGCGGATGGCATCTTCGCTCCGGGTGAGGGAGGGGGAAGGAGAAGGAGGAGGGAGAAGGAGGAGGGAGGAAGGGAAGAGGAAGAAGAAGGGAGAAGGAGGAGGGAGGAAGGAGAAGGAGGAGGAGGGAGGGAGAGGGAGGAAGGAGAAGGAGGAGGGAGGAGGGGAGAAGGGAGAAAGAAGAGAGAGAGGCGGATGGCATCTTCGCTACGGGTGAGGGAGGGGGAAGGAGAAGGAGGGAGGAGGGGAGAAGAGGGAGGAAGGGAAAAGGAGGAAGGAGGAGAGAGAAGGAAGAGGAAAGGAGGGGAGAAGGAGGAAGGGAAAAGGAGGAGGGAGAAGGAAGAGGAAGGAGGGAAGAAGGAGGAAGGGAAAAGGAGGAGGGAGAAGGGAGTAGGAAGAGGGAGGAGGGGAGAGGGAGGTAGGAGGAGGAAGGGAAAAGAAGAAAGAAGAAGGAAGATGGAGGGGAGAAGGGGATAAAGAGGAGGGAGGAGGAAAGGAGAAGGGAAAAGAAGAAAGAAGAAGGAAGATGGAGGGGAGAAGGGGATAAAGAGGAGGGAGGAGGAAAGGAGAAGGAAAAGGAAGGGGAGGAAGGGAGAAGAAGGAGGGAGGAGGGGAGAAGGAAGGAGGAGGGAGAGTTTGAAAAACGGGGAAAGGAAAGGAGAGGAGGAAGAGAAAACGAGAGAAGGGGGAAGGAGAGTTGAAAAGGGAGCAAAGGAAAAGGAGGATGGAAGAGGAGAGAAGAAAAAATATAGAGAGAAGAAAGAGAAAAGGAGGGGGGAAGAGAAGGAGGAAGAGAAAACGGAGGGGAGGAGGAAAATTGGCAAAAATGGATAAAAATGAGAAACGGTAAAAACGGAAAAGAAAAAGAAAGAAATTATGAAGGATACTTTAAAAGAGAGAGAGAGAGAGAGAGAGAGAGAGAGAGAGAGAGAGAGAGAGAGAGAGAGAGAGAGAGAGAGAGAGAGAGAGAGAGAGAGAGAGAGAGAGAGAGAAAGAGAAAGAAAGAGAGAGAGAAAGAGATAGAGAGAGAGAGAGAGAGAGAGAGAGAGAGAGAGAGAGAGAGAGAGAGAGAGAGAGAGAGAGAGAGAGAGAGAGAGAGAGAGAGAGAGACAGAGAGAGAGACAGAGCCAGAGAGACACAGAGAGAGAGAGGATATAAAAAAAAGAGAAAGAGACAAAATCACTCCATACATCATAGACGTGCTTCACAATCTTCCAGTCATCTGCAACATAACTTCTTTCAACCCCCCCCCCTTCCCCCTCCCCAGGTGGCAGCATAAGCAACTTACACGCCATGCTGTTAGCGAGGTACAAACTTCACCCTGAGATCAAGCAGTCCGGGATATTTACCCTGAAGCCTCTCGTCGCCTTCACTTCAGACCAGGTGAGGGAGACCACGTGACCTGTGATGCAAAAGATGGCGATTAAAAAAAAAAAATATATACATATATATAAGGTTGATGTTAATGGTGGCAATGATGGTGATAATGCTAATGATGAGATGACTTTGGTACTAATGATGATGATAATTGTCAGTGATAATGAAATGATGATGATGGCAACGATAATGATAACGATAAGAATAATAATAGTTATGATATTGATTATAATTTCCATTACAGTCATAATGATAAAGATAATAATAATGATAAAAACCCGCCAAACCCAGCCAAACCCGCCAAACTTGCCAAACTCACCCCCCTAAATCCGCCAAACCCGCCAAACACGCCACTAACACCCAACCTCGATTCCAGAGTCACTATTCGATCAAGAAAGCCGCCGTCACCATGGGCTTAGG